GCGGTCTCGGGGTGCAGGGCGCGCCCCCACTCCCGCCGAGTGGGTGCTCCTCTGGGCCTGCAAGCCGGCAGCTTTCTCGCACTGAGCGAGAGACAGCGGGCAGCGCGCCGGCGCGGATCCACCGGGGTCCCCAGGGCGAGCCCCCACGCCCAGCGCCCAGGGCGGGGCGCCACCTGCGGGGGTGGAGGCGAGGGGTGCTGAGGCAGGGCTTCCCCCGCCGGACGTGACATCACGCCTTCCGGCCGCCAATCGGGGGCTTCCCCGCCCCCAGCCTAAATCGGCATCCTCGCCCCTGCCTCGCGGGCTCCTGCAGCCGCCACACAGGGCAGCCAGCCTTGCCTGGGGCACCGCAACGGCCTGTTCCCCGCCGTCCACGCCTCCCGCACCTCTGTGACACCCGTCTGCGACCTCGCCCTGTCTAGACACCCTCGGGTTCCTGCGCTGTAGGGGAGCGTGCGGGTGCGCACGGGGCCGGGCCGGGGGCCTCCTGCCCATTCCCGTCCATGTGGACTCTGAATAGCTGGAAATAGCCACCTCGGGTTTAATCTCGTACATGGGACCCTCGGGAAGAAAAAGTGGCGAATCCCAAGTCCTTGTGTTGTTTTGAGTAAGGGGCGGTGGCAGGTAACTTAGGGAAGAGGGTCGTGGGTACCAGGCCAAATGGTGAGCTGGCCAAGAGTGGTCACCGCGACATTGGTGAGCGTGCTAGGTTGACTATAAGTGCACGCGGGCAAGGGCTGGGGACGAGCGTCGGAAGGGGCCACCCAGAGCCTTGGCCAGCGTCACCCTCCTCGACCTTGCGTCCCCTGCCTGGCCAGCAGAGGCCCCAGAGAGCTGCGCCGAACAGGCGCCTCTGTGGGTCTGAATGCTTGGAGGAAAGTAGAGGGGCCATGCCCTGGCCTCGCTGCCCCCAGGTGTGAAGAGGGGCCTGCAGGCCGCAGGCAGGGGTCAGTACTTCCAAAGAGGCGGTCAAGTAAAAAGCCACCATGGGGACCTTGGAGCTCATACAGCCCACCCTGACACACCTGGGGTCCCGGAGTCAGTGCTACGGCTTGTTTCACTGGCTTCAGGGGTTGTGGACAAGAGAACACACAGGCGCAGCAGACGAGCATCCCCTCTCCAGGCCAGGCCTGTGCCGGTGTGCAGCTCAGAGCAGACTGTGGTTGGGCCCTCTGGCTCTTCTGACCAGGCAGCCTCAGAGGGAGCTGGGTGCCCTGCTGTCCCTTGGGTCCTGGACTGCACCCCCAGAGTCCCACACTGCTCTCTGAGGTCATGCCCTGACCCCCAGGTCCTGTATTGTTCCCCCTGATGTTCTGCACTGCCCTGTGAGTGGCCATTTCTCAGAACTATGAGCCGTTCCGTGGGTGAGGCTGGGAGCCACCCAGACGCAGGATCTTCTGTGCCCTGTCTACCACCACCCTCTGTCTGCTGCATGACACTCTGCTCCCTCCCCTCACTGGGCCATCCCTGTGCTGGGGCACTGGCCAGGGCCCTCCACCCTTTCTGCTGGTGTGCAGGCTACACTCTTAGGAGCCCAGACTGGCCTTCTGCTCACCTGATGTGACCGTTCTTGTCACTGTTGCCACGGCTGGGCCTCTCGGTCCAACGCATAGGGAAAGTCCTCAGGGCAGCCAACCCTCTCCCAGGGCAACAACCAGGGCCCAGTGTACAGAACTGTTGCCGAGAGGCCAAGTGAACGCATGCAGGGACGTGAGGGTGAGAGCTTCCTCCTACCCTCCCTGCACCCCGACTGAACCCTCCTCCCGTCTTCCCTGTGTCCTCCCGTCCTCCCTTCATCCTCCTCCCGTCCTCCCTGGGTTCTCCCTGCATCTTCCTCCTGCCCTCCCTGCCCCCTCCCTGTGCCCTCCTCCCATCTTCCCTGTGTCCTCCTCCCATCCTCCCTGTGTCCTCCTCCCGTCCTCCCTGTGTCCTCTCGTCCTCTCTGTGCCCTCCCTTCGCCCTCCCTCTATCCTCCCATCTTCCCTGTGTCCTCCTCCCGTCCTCCCAGTGTCCGTCCTCCCCTCCTCCCTGTGCCCTCCTCCCATCCTCCCTTCACTCTCCTGTCCTCCCTGAGTCCTCCCTACGTTATCTTCACATCCTGCTCACATGCTCCTCTGATCCTCCCTGTGTCCTCCCCATGTAATCCCCACACCCTCCTCCCGTCCTGCCCACGTCCTGCTCGCACCCTCCTCCCGTGTCCGCCCCACATCTTGCACGTCCTCCTCGTGTCCTGCTCACATTGTCCTCCCATCCTCCTCACCTTGGGAGCACAGAGAAATCAGAGTGGTCTCGAGACCCTGCAGGCCCCTCTCCAGAGAGTATTCTTGTGCCTCCAGCAGCGCACCCCGTTCTCAGGGGCAGGACCTCAGGCACAGGCCCCCTCGGTGGTCTCCCGCATTTCCTCCTGGTTGTGGGAGGGGTGAGGGAGAAGTAGAGTCCAGCTCAGATGATCGCTTTCTCAGGAGGGCAGGGTGCCGGCACCTATAGGGCTGCTTTTCTGGTTGGTATTGGTCCAGATCTATGCTTGAATGTGATTGACGTGGACTCGGTCACCTGGACTGGGTCGTGGAGCTTCAGCAAGATGACAGTGCCGTTGAGAGAGGCTCCTGGGCTCACCAAGGATGGAGCTTGTTCTGCATCAGAGCTACACACAGCCCTGGGGGCGCTGAGCCCAAGTCTCCCACACAAGAGGTGAGAAGCCCACTCCCGAATGACTGCTGACTGTGCAGCTGGCTCAGTCCGTGTGTGGGCACGGCGTGCTGTCCTACCCCAGCTAAACAGGGTGCAGCTCCCAGAGCCCAGGGTCAGCTCGTGCGGGAGGAGCGCCCCCATAACAGTGTCCACCCAGCATCCACCTGTAGCCAGACAGGGCTTGAGGCCAAGGGCCAGGGTTGGGGTGGGCAGCCAGGGCCTACAGGTCACCACAGCTTAGGGCTGGGTGTTGGGATGACATGGAAAGGGTCTAGCACACACCTGTTTGCTCCCTCTGATGCCCACATGCCCCCAGTAGCAAAAGGAACCCTACACCTGCCCAGGCTCTCTCTCCATGTGCCCCATGTGCCCCCCAAACCCCAGCAGGAAGGACCCAGGCCCGGGTGACTGAGCCCTGGCCAGTTGGGAAGTGGACATGACCAGCAGGAGGATGGGTCCACATCTGATGATGCATCTGAGAACAAGACAGAAAACACTCTGCCTGCCCCACCGCCGAGAACCCACCCTGACCTGGACGGCCCTCCTCGGGGCCTTGGGGGTGCAGACAAGAGGTGTACAGTCTCCAGGGGGTGTGGGGTCTCCACGAGGAGTGAACTGGCTCATGGAGGGCAGGGTCTGTGTCCTCTGTCTCTGCTCTGAAGCCTGGGGCTGGTCATCTATCGGCCCAGCGTCAGGATGGGTCAGCTTTCCTTCAGGTGGTTTATGAGGAGCGGACTGATTGACAGCTTCACCGTCTGTTCTGAGGCCAAGTCTGTGACAGGCTCTGTCCTCACGGCCCCAGAGCTGGTCTGGCACACACACCAGGGTACAGGCCTGAGCAGAGAAGGGCTGAAAGTGTGTGGGGCCCCAGGGACAGAGAAGCCGGGCAGAGGCTCTGAGCTGGCACCTGGGCAGCAGCAGATGTCACAGGGTGTGGCTGACTGAGGGACATGTGACACCAGGAGGGACTGCTGGTCTTGGTGACCTGGGCGGGAAGCGTGCCTTTCGTGACAGGGCAGTGGTGCTTCTGAACTGTGGGGACTGCTGATCTCATTGCGTGTGTTCTCCTATTCAGGTGGCATCCACAAGAGAGGACCCGGGACCTCATTCCAGGTGGTGGCACCTCCATCCTCGGAGCCCTCAGCCCACGAACCCCGTCAGGTGGCGGCTCCCCCAACTTCAGGGCCCTCAGCCCACAAACTCCTCCAGGGCTATTCTAAGGCCTTGTTTTCCAATGCAGTTCTCATGCAACTCTGGGTAAAATTGGCCAACTATGGACATACACCCTGTCCCCCTAGTCCCCAGGGGTTGGGCCATCGGAGCTGCTCGCTGCCCCTCTGGACAGGGCAGGACCAGCACTGAGCTTATAGATGCACAGCGTGGTCCCAGCTGGGCCCGCCCTCCCACCTCCCACCTCCCACCTCCCTCCCATCTCCCTCCCACCTCCCTTCAAGGCCCCTGACTGGGGACTTCAAATTCAAGATGAGCCTTGCTGGCAGCTGCGAGGGTTGGGCCCATGTTTCTTTGATCGCCAGGAAGTTAGCCTGCCCCCTCATCAGGGGCCGGCAGCAGCACCTCTGCCGCCCACACGGGCAGGGTGGGGCAGCGCCCTGGGCGAGGGGCTGTACCACCATCTGCACACCTGGCACCTGGACCAGAGGGCTGCCGCCTGGGCCCCGCCCTCCTGGTGCAGTCCTCCTGCTCTGCCACGCCCTCCACCGTCTGAACCACTCCCCTGCATGTGCTTCAGGACCCGAGGCAGGGATGTTGTGGACAGCAGACGACTCCTGGGCTCCAGAAGCCAAGGGACCGGGCAGAGTCCTCATGTAGGAGGTGCAGGACCCAGCACCCCGCCTCTAGGGCAGCGAGAGGGCCTCTGGGCCTGGGGACTTGGCTCCAGGTGACACGGTGGCTCCGACTGTCAAGGAATTAGAGGGCTGAACGCAGTCCCGTCCCAACGAATCCTTCTGCACTCTGTGTCCTCAATGCGTCTAGCCCCTTCCCAAGTTTGGCTTCACCTCCAG